TAGTAAGTTTTTACTAATTATTAGTGACTCACTTTTTGCTTTTTGAATTAGTAAGATTCTACTATTAATTAGTTATTTTTAACTAATTCAGATTTAGAGAGTAATACAATTTGTTCAGTTTTTTCGCCTTCTAAAATAATCGATAGCAAATTTCCGTAGGTCATATCACCAGTTTCATTAGCATTAAAATCTGTGGAACATTCAGCTTCTGAATCAAATTCTATGACCTGAAACAAAAAGACTTGCACCCCCCCCTATCCCAAACTTTATAAAGCAAGAATTATCATATTAAAGAATTTCATTTTTTATAATTTATTTTTTTCGAATGTTGTTAGAAGGTTATTGTATTTTATAAGAATTTTGATTTGTTTTAATTGTGAATTGAAAAAAAAGTATTTAAGATAAGTATATTTTACTAGATAAATAATAATTAATAATTTTTACTTTGCTGAATGCTTAAATTGTAGAAGTTTAAATTTTTGAAATGTTTATTAATAATATTTTTGAAGGTTAAGTAAAATGGAATGAAGGATTTTTTTTATTGATGGAATTTTTTTAGTATGGATTTTTATTTACATAGGGTCAGCTGGGGTAAATGGGGGTAAAATCGCTATTTTTCATAAATTACGTAAGTTTCTTTCTTTAAAAGGTAATATTTGCGGCTTTATTTTTTTTAAGTTGTTATTTACGTTCCCAGGATTAATTTTATGCAGAAGAAAAAAATTTAGATAAGCTTTAAACGCATGTAACTGACTGTCCCCATTTACCTCAAAATTTAGTAAATTTCATAAAATTTGGGGTAAATAGGAACAGCATAGTTTCTAAGAAAGTTTTTAAAAAAAAGTTTCCTTAAGTATATTACTGTATTAAGGGATGAAAAAACTTGAAAAAAATGCTATTTAATATTGAAAATTAAATTCATTATTTTCAGGTGATTCGTTTGAGAAATTCTATTCCATATAAATGATATAAAAAATAATTTTTTTGAAAAAATGGAAGATAACAGTAAAAAAATTAGAAATTATTAAATATTTATATATTAAATATTAATTAGTAAATTTCAGGGACATAATTAAAAATGTATCAAACATGTATATATATTGCGGTTGTAAAAAAAGAAATTTCTCCTCTAAAGGATCGAATGCTTGTTCGTCTATACATCGACCTTGTTTCTTTTAAAGCGGCTTCTATTTTCTGTGACTCCATGTCTTTGCTTTATTAATAAGATATATATTCAGAGAGAGAGAGAGAGAGAGAGAGACGAGAGAAAGGAGAAACACGATTAAATTAAACTCGCGAGACCCGCACGAGTTTATCCTGATGCAAGAAAGTAGTATCACAAATGATTACCCGGCTACCAGCGTTACACAAACGTCACGCTTCATCGAACAAAATATATTCTTCTCACTCTAATTCCTTCATCTTATTGATCTCCATTGAATATTGACAAGATGAGGTAACTTGATTATATATGATTGTTATGAATTGTGCATTACTTATCAGTTCCTGTCACGTTTTTATCACATTATCCTCTATTTATGACTTTCAATTTTCTCGAGACAAAAAAAGAACCGCTATAATAATGAAAATATCATTAAATCAAGTACCATAATTCATATTTTATTACTGCTTAATGATAGTAATAATATTGACAATATTGCTAATTAATTTCTTTAATTTAAAAATTATACATATAATGAAATTATTTTCATCTATTGGAATCAGCTGTTCTCGACGAACGCCACCATCTTGGTGACTGTTTCCAAGAAATTGGTTCAAGTTATTTTAGACCTAATGGCGCACTCACACCTTTTTGGCTGCCTGCCTGCATGCAGGTTACTATGGCAACGCACAAGTGTGAGTGAGACAGAAAATTTGAATATTCTAATTTTTAAATTTTCTATCGCACTCACTCTCATGCGTTGCCATGGTAATCTGCAGGCAGCTAAAAGGGTGTGTGAGGACCTTAATAGTAATCTTTTATATGAGAAAGTATTTTTGTAATTGAAAAATTAAAATTATTAATTTATTATTTAATTTTCATTATGAATCAAATTATATTAAATAATTAAATTGTTTTGATGTCAAATTAGTAATGAATGTAAGAAACAAAAAAAAATGTGTAAGATATATATATATATATATATATATTGAAAAATTTTTTTCAAAAAAGAAAACCCAATTTTATATAATTTACTTGTAATTGCAAATTCTATCCTGTAAAATGTGCGTTACATATTCTATAACTTTCGAATCCTGTTTCTTGTCCTTATTTCTTGCATATATGAGCGTATCGGGTTTAGTTATTACTCGAGTTGGATATTTAACTCAATCACACGCACGACTTTTACTTCAAATTTAATTCGAATTTACACTTATTCCAACAAAAATAAAAAATAAATTTTCCAAAAATACACAAAACTAAATCAAAAATTTATTATCGTAAACTGTAAACAAATTATTGAAAATATATATATTAAAAATTCAACTTACTTAATGAAAATTAAAATATAAAAAAAAAAACGAAAGAATTAAGTAAAAAGTTATAAATTTAAAAAAATATATCAAATTATTTTTTAAAGTTTAAATAACTTGAAGCAATCAAAAAAATTGAATTAATTTTTCTCGAAAAAGTGGAAGTTGTTATTCTCCGCTATTAAGGAGAAAAGTGAGAAATCTGTGACATATGTCAAAGTAGAACAAACTTATTATCAAATTGTTAAAAACGTTAAATCAATTTATTAAAAAAAAATTGGGAAATTTTACTTTCTTTTTTTTGTTATTTCTTTTTTATCCATCATATTTAAAATCGATACCTAATTGGAAAATATGATAATAAAAAGTAAAAATGATTTATAAAATGATTTATAAATTGAATGAAAACGAAGCTAAAAGACCATTACTTTCCAACCTTAATAAATCATTCAAATTTTTTTTTTTTTTCGAAAACGGTAATACAAGTGGCGCCGACACAGTTTGTCTATTTGATAGGCGTCAAGTAGCATCAGGTAGAGTAATTTATATCCTTCACTATATTATATATATATATATAAAAGCGAGAGTCGTCGACCGCTACCAAAGTAGAGCAAACCTCACCTTTAAGTTCTTCTTTATTTTTATTTTTTGATGACTTACAATTTCCTTTGGCGAACAAAAAAAGAAAGATTATGATCGACTTAACGCGTCATCGCGGGACAAATGAGCCGCCTCTTCGTTGTAAATTTATTTATTATTTATTTTTTTTTTTTTTGTAATTCATGCACTTATACAATTAGTCATTATACTGATTCTATTATACTCTCACTTTTACCATTAAAGCATTTCCTCGAAGGAAGCTTGGGCAAACAGGACCGCACCTTTCAGAACGCCCATGCTTTATACATTCTTTGCAATGTGGAGAGATAAAGAAAATTATTTTATATTCGCATTTATTATTAAAAAAAAAAGTCTCGCGATGTTGATCCTTATATAGACGAGGACTTCCGGGTAAATGTTCCTTGATGTCCTTCAAAAAAAAAAAAAAAAAACAAGGACATACTCAATTTCTTGTCAACTTGATATACCTTTAAACGCACTTATATATAGGGATTTAAGACAATTTTTTTTTATAATAGATTTGAAAAAATTTCCAAGTTCTCTTTCTCTTTTCAAGGCGTCTCACATTCAAGGGAGAATTTAATGGATTTTACTTCTTATTTTAGCGGAAATTTTGTTTTTTTTTTTGCATTCTTTTTGTATTTTTTTTTTTAATTACCAAAGAGTGTTCTAAAAATTTTATAGAGAGACTCATGATTATTCCATAAAAATCATTTATTCAAATTTTCATTTTAAAGAATTATATTAAATATAGAAATAATAGACGAATTTTCAATTTTCGAATTAAAATTTTAAAGAATTTCTTTTTATACAAATTTTTACTTAACAACATTTTTAGCTACCAATTTTTTGTTTGGCAGAATTTTTATAGTAATTTAATTATTTACATGAATTTTTATTTAAGAATATTTTAATTTAACACAATTCTCATTCAATTGAATTTTATGTGATTCGATTTTTATTTATTTTATTTATATTTATTTATCATTGTTGGCTAAAAATCTCGATATATGTTTGAGAGAATTTTGATTCATTAAATATTTTTCGAAATTTTTAATTTTATTTTTTTTGTAAAATTCTTTGAAATCCTAACAAAAAAATTTTACTTAGATGCAAAAACTTCCAACAAGTAAAAATTATTATCTCTAAAAAAATTATTCAAATGACTGTAAAATAAAAATTCTGCTAAACAAAAATTCTATAGGTAAAAATTTTGTTATATCTAAGATATAATTATTTCTAATAAAAGACAAGAAATAAGTCAAGAAAAAATAATAATAATAATAATTAATTTTTTGTAAAAATAGAAAAAAAATTGAAAACAATAGAATAAAATAAAATAAATAGAAAAAATAAAAAATATCGGAAATATTTCTTTTTAATCCATTACAAAAGTAAATACATATATATGTATATATAGAAAATGAAAAACAACAGCCAATGAAAAACCATAATACTGAATTTTTTTTCACAAAAGTAAAAACAATGAAGTTGGTTGCAATAATTCAATTTCTGTAAGAAATTTTCTACTTTATAAACTTATTTAACTAGAGAAATTATATTAAAGAAAGATCCTCTAGGGACAAATGCAATTTCCTCTTAAATTTCTATTTTATGAAGACAAATGAAAATATTGTTTATGGAAGTTTGAAAATTGAAATTCAAACAAGAAACGTATTTAATATATGATCTTTATTATTTTTATTAATAATAGGGAATTTGCATCAATTTTTTTTTAAATTTAAATCGATAGATTAGGTCAGATTTATATAACAAAATTTTTTTCCCATAATTTTTTAGTGACAAATAAGCGCAAAATTAAATAAAAACAATTTACATAATTTTTAAATAACGAAAACGCTCCGGAAAGAGCCGAGTCTACCCGAACTCTGCGTGACGTCACGGGCACGAATTTACAGTAATGTTTTAATGTATGATGGTAGTAAATAGTATTAATTAATTATTATTTATAAAAATGAGCGAGAATAAAACATTCCAGTCATGTTTTGTGCCATTATGTGGAAGCACCAATGTCAAAACACCAAATAAAATATTTTTTTGTGTTCCAAAGGACGAAAAAATGAGGTTAAAGTGGTTTCAATTTGCTCGTCGAAAAGATGTTCCAAAGGATAAGTACACTTATTACTGTTGCGACGATCATTTTAATGTAAGTAGTATATTACAATCAGTTTTTAATTAATTATTTACAATAGTATTAAAAAAAATAAAATATAAACAAATGTCATACTACATTTATCATATATACCAATGTGAATAACATAACCTCAAATTTGATTTGTTTTTTTTAATGCAGATAAAGGATGACATGGACAATTATATTAGATATTGTCTTATGGGAGGACCAAAAAAATTGAAAAAAGATGCGATTCCTCACAAATTTGCTTGTCAGCCTAATAGGTGTAAAATAAATGAAGAATCACGACCAGCTTTTATAAAATTGAATAGAAAGAGAGAAATTCAAGACATTTTATCGGAAACTGAAAATCAAGAAAATTTCACATCAAAACAAAACGATCAACCAGCGTCAAAAAATAGGAAAATTTGTGATGTTATTGAAAAAGAGGCTTTAACTAATTTAACAAATATAGCAGAGTTAAGTAAAATTGAAAGTCCCCTTGACGTCCCACTGTCAAACAATTTGTCCTCTGTAACACAGGATGCCTTACAACCAGGCTTTTTTATGGAAAAAGAAAACGAATCCTCTGTAAATTTACTACCTACAGAAAACTGCGATCAAAATAGTAAAAAATCTGTTGGTACACAAGTGCGGAAAAGTTTTACAAATCCTCATGTTCGAAGTAAGCACACTACATGCAAGCCTGACACCCGTGATGCATCTTGTGAAACTAAAGTAGAAATGGTTGATAAAATGTGTTCACCGATCAATTTTTGTGGAAAAGAGTCTGTAAAATCTACTTTGCTTAATTCCGATTCAAGTGCAATTGTGTCTTCGTCTAACGTTACCAGCGAATATAAATATACGTCAATATCCAGCGAGTATAAAAAATCTTCAACTTGCAGTGAGGAAAAAAATGAAAAACAAAAAGCAATGAAAAAATCAATTCTTGATATCACCCTATATTTAATAAGTGTAGATCCAAAAAAATATGTTGGTATTAATCAGGAATGGTTGTGGATTTTACCTATGTTGAGTTCTTCTACAAATTGCAGCGTTAATAATATTAAACTCACTTTGCAAAAAATTAAAACTGATGACACTTTTAGTCGACTGGGTGATCAGTATGGTATCTCAACTTCGCAGGCAAGCCGAATTTTTGATAAAAATGTAGATCGATTAGCTCACTATTTAAAAACGCTTGTATACTTTCCTGATGAAAAAAGTATAAAAAAAAATTTACCTATTGCATTTCGAGCTAATTACAGTAATGCATGTGCTATTATTGATGCTTTTGAAATAGAGATTGAAAAACCTTCAAATCCAGTTCATCAGGCGCTAACGTGGTCAGATTATAAGAAATGCAACACAATGAAGTATTTGATAGTATGCTCTCCGGATGGATTTATTACTTTTACATCTAAAGGGTACGGAGGAAGGATAAGCGACACCTTGTTATTTGAAGAGAGCAAATTAATAAATATTCTCCCTGCTGGATGTGGAGTTTTAGCTGATCGAGGTTTCAAACACATTCAGTCAGTTTTAAACAAACGAAAATGTAAATTACTTCGTCCGCCGTCAGTTTCGACTACTTCAAAATCGACAAAAGCAGAAGTTTTAAAAACAAAAAGCATTGCAAGTATAAGGATTCATATCGAAAGAGTCATTCGAAGGGTTCGAGAATTTGAAATATTAAAACCTCATTCTTGCCTTGATCTAAATACAGTGGTGAAGTTAGATAGTATTGTAACTATTGTTGGAGGTTTGATTAATTTACAAAAACCTATAATAAGAAAATAAATGTTTGCTAACAAATGAAGTTCATGTACAAATCAAACAGTAGTAATAAAATATAATAAGTATTTGTTTATTATTTATGATTAATATATTTATAAATTTTTTACTTATTAAATATTGTATTTAAAATTCTATCGATGGAAAATAATAAAATAATATATTTATCAGAAAATACTCATTTATTTATTAATAGTCCCAAATAAAATAAATCTTATTTTAAAAAGATAATAATTATTATACATTTTCATCTTTTTATCGAGTTTAATAAAACAGGAAAAATATTTTTTTCCCAGAAATCCACAGAATCTTTTACTATTTGACTAGTGAAATTTTGATCATATTTCACCCACACAAATTGAAATTTTTTATTTCTTTCAAAATTCGGATCTGCAACACAAAAAAGTCCTTTCTTCTTGTCAGTAGCCATCATTTGTAAATTAATTTGAGCTTTGCACTTTTGACTGAGTTGACCATTTTTTAAATAATTTTCTACAGTTTTTTCAGAGCTTGGACATTTAACTTCCAACACAAATTCTGAACTTATTCCGTCTGGTGAAGCACCTATCATAGGTAATGATGGAATTAGAAACATACCGCACTTATTTATTGATAGTTTTAATATTTTCTCAATCTCACTTATGACTTCTTCTTCCAAGTTTTTGCCGCGTTGCATATCAACACTGTTATAAACTTTTGCTGCCCCTATGATTCGATTTACTAAACTACCATTTGGTGTGCGACATCGACTAGCTTCAAAAACATTAGATGCAGTAACCCTTCCGAATCTCAGTTCGTGCCACAGAATATCATTTGATTGACTCCTAGTTTGTTGTTCAGCCTGAAGACATAAATCTTGCGAGAATTTTTGCATTGAAAAATTTAAAAAATTATCAACTGAAATTTTTTCATCGGATTGTATGAAATTAAATATAAGTTGATGTATGGACAAGGCATGAACTTTTCTCTCTTCTAAATCAAATGCATGTCTTGATAATTGGCTATCTAACTGTTTGGCTGCAGCTTGTTCAATTACTTTGTTTAAAAACGTCGAATTATCACCGAAATCTTCAACTGAATCGTTCGATTTTTTTTTCAATTCACTAGTCAAAACAAATTTGTGTGTATCTCCGACTTTGGCTAAGGCTGATTTCCTCCAGTAACATTCCACTTCTGTTGGAGATGGCGATTCATATCTTCTGTTTGCCCACATTAAAAAAGCAATTCCGTGTTTACATCCACCCAATGACGCAGCGCAATCAAGACATTCTACTTTTTTAACTTGTTCGTTAACTTCATCTACAGTTAACGTTACAGTGTAATTTTTACTTCTTACTCGGTGTTCAGGACAAATTCTGCCTTTCAATGTGCATATTGACCCTACACGTTTTACGCAAACATAACCTATTGCAGAGTCTCCGTAATTCTCTCTTGAAGATCTACAATAATATAAACATAAATAGTAATCAACTATATATAAGTTGTTAATTATTAATTATTTAATTAAATAATTTTATTAGTACAAACATTTATATTTACTTACAATGTTGCTTTCACTCCACGAACCTCAGGTGCATTATATCGCTCATTATTTGTAATATATTCATATACCATAAACACATTTATTTTTGGCAAATTAGTGGTATCAGCTTTTTCAAAACCGGGATCTAATTTATTTACCATTTTTAATCAAAACAATGTATTCAATAATTATTGCGAGCCGATTACAAAAATATCACGTATGAATATACACAGCATACACTTCTGCATTTATGCCCGTGACGTCACCAATCTGAGAGCCAATTAAAATCGTTTGCTCTCAGTTGAGAAAATTTCAAATAATGTTAAAGTTTAAATTAATTTTTTAATGTTATTTATGCATGAAAATTGTAAAAAAAATTTTTTAATACTTTTGAAATCGCATTAACTTTCGTTTTATATATAAAAAAACCGTATTTATTTTTAATGCAAATTCCCTATTCTTTTTTTTTAATTGTGTTAACTTTTAATTAACTTTATTGCATAATCGTGAATTCATATCCGATCAAAAAGAGAATATTTAAAAATAATTGCGTATTCTCAATTCATTAATTAAAAGCGTGCTTTTTTCACTCTATATAAGTCTAAAAAAATATTCTCAATCGAATATATAGAAAAATATTTAATTATTCATTATTTTCATTTAACACGATTAGTTATATATTTCAATTATACAAGAATTAAACACATTTTTCTCTTATTATTATAGATTGATAGCTTAAATATAAAAAATTTTAAAATGAAATGAAATAATAAAAGAAATAATAAAATAATACCTACAAATTTAATGAAAGTTATGAAACTTATGAAAAATAAAAAATCTTTAAATTCAAAATTAAAATTGAAAAATTTCGAAAAATATAATCCAACTCACTGCTTCTATAATAATAATCATCATCTTCTATTTATATTTATAATTTCATTGCAATAAGATGATGCATTATATTTCTTAATTGAATTATTTATATTTATATAGATATAAACTTTCTAAACTTCTTTTTGAATGAATACGAACTTTTATAAATTATGCATGCAATATAAGTTTTGACTATATACAAGTATGTAAAACATATGTTTTATACATGTTACATAGTAGTTTCGTAACAATATAAAGAAATTGTAACATATGGAAAAGTCCTGAATCTATTAATAATTATAAATAGATTCATAATAAATTATTAATATGAATTTATTTAAATATAAAAAAAATAATTTAATGAAATTCTTTTTTTCAAATGTGTATATGGTAAAATGTAATGTTACAATTAAAAAAGAATAACATTAAGTGTAAAATTAAAAAATTATTTGTCATTAAAACACTTTACATAAAAAATTTCGGTAATGACAGTTATTCAAAAATTTGCGACTTCTCAAAATTCATTTCGTAATCTGCATACGATGCGTCAACCTTCGCCATTTCATTGGAAATTATTGACATTTGCAGGCAGCATTTATAGATTGAGAATTAAGGTGTAAATCATCTAACACATTCAACAATTTAAAAAAAAAATTATATATATATATATATATAAAGACGTTAAAAATATTCCATGGAAGAATTATAGAAAGAGAAATGTATCTTTGGGCGTGAATTGATCATAAATCAGATGAATATAAAAAAAATCTTGAATGATATTCAAATAGATTTGTTCCTTGCCATGTATATATATATATATATATATATACTTTCTAAAGATAAATGTTACATAGAATAAAAATTATTAAATATATATAGGTACTAATTTTCTTTTCAATTATTGAATATAAAATGAAAAATTTACTTTTGAAGTAGATAAAGTACAGCTTTGTCAAATTAATAGTTTCGTAGGAACTAAATACCTAAATTTAAAATTTTTAGAAAACACAGAAAAAAATAAACTCGGATTAATTTACAATCATTAAAATTAATGGTAAAAATTTAATAACACTTTGCAATTTGTTAAAAATTGAGTTATTTAGTTTCAAACTTAAATTTTTTACAAAATAGTTTATATTATGTGAAAAATTCTTAATTTTAACTAAAATATTTTATTTTCTATTTTTTGCAAAATGATTCTAAAATTTTTACCTTTAAATTTCGCTGAGTAATTTTCTTTTTTGTTATATTTTTATAATTTAAGTACACTGAAAAAAAAATTTATTTATTTAAAATAATCGATTAGGTTGACTTTATCAAATAAATATTTCCTTGAACTAAATAATTTTTATTTGATTCAATTAAATTTTATTTGTTTCAAATAAAGAAATTATTGGTCCAAATAGTGTTTATTTTATTCAAATAAAAATTATTGGGTTCTTTGTCAGACAATTTTCCCATTTTATAGATAAGTTTTAATTATATATGTAATTTGAGGATATATATATTTTAAAAGCAGTAAATTTTATAAAAGTTAATAATTATTTTTCTTTTAAATAATGTCCCCTTTTTTTAAATTAAAAAATTGATGCGACCCTGCATATATTGATGCAAAATTCGACAACGACTTAGGAGCCTCCTGTCATCTATACACATTTACATCTTCGACGAGTCGTATATTATGAAGCATTTGACAGTGAAAGTTATTCAAAGAACCCCGGGGCCAAAGGTAGCATCCAAAATTTGATCACTCGCTTCATAAACGACCACTTTTTGTAAATTTCATTTCATTAATACTCGATTAATCTATATATATATATATTATATTACATAAATATAAATTAATCATAATTATTTCAATTTTTAATCATTTTCATTTCATTTAGTATATAATTATTAAATATTTTTTAAATTTACAATATAATAAACAGTATTACGAAAAATCAAACAATGTATAAACTAATTACTGTAATAATAAAAAAATTTATTTTTATATGAGAATGAGAGATCTGGTAATAAATTAACGTGATCGGTTTGAAGATTATTAATGGGAAATAAAAGAAAGACCCGTGCCTCTTTCTACTCCTTTCATTTTCGATATATTCAAGACCAGTTTGCGCACGTCGTGTTCAGGGAAAGCGAAACAACATACCAAAGTCGCGAAAGGACCGCAGACTCCTCAGGATTGGCCCTGACCTTGCGAGTCACTCGCAACTCCCCATTTACGCGTGTATAATATGATTCTCGCTATATACTTATAACTTCGTTAAGATTTTTTTTTATCAAGTTTTTCTTTTCACATGTGCACCCATCAAAGTGGTCCGATATCACTTGATCCGATTCTTTCGAGCGGCAACTGGTGAAAGTAACATGGGACAAGGTTGCCAGCTACTGTACATATTAACATTACAAAATTGCATATAATATATTGAGAATCAACTTTGTTGGATTTTTTTCATCAAATTATTGATTACTTCTATTATATTATATTTTTTATTTATTTTTTTTTTTTATTAATGTTATCGTCATTTTTTCTAATTTTAACAACCTTCTTTATTAGTAATCTATTTTCCGATATTATTTATTTATTTTTAAATATTATATATTTTTTAAAATACTATTTTTTATTTTTAAATATATATGGGGCATTCTTTGTCAAAAACTCTGTCTAAAATAGATTTAATTAGAAAAAGCTCTACATGGGTTTAAATTTTAGCAAATTTTGTGTAATTTTTGATGCCATATGGCATTTTTTAAATATTAAACATTGGGGAACAAAC